GGCCCCCGCGGTCGGGCTGGGCCCGCCGCCCCGCCAGCCTCGCAAGCTGGGCTGGGGCCCCAGAGCCAATCGGGGTGGGGGATCGTCGGGAGAACCGCCCGTCTCCATCTCCGGGGGATGAGGGGGGTGGGCGTGGTGGTGGTGTGGCTGGGGGGGCGGAGCGTGATGGTGGTGGTGGTGGGGCGGGTGATGGTGGGCGGGGGGCAGGGGCCCGCTGTGGTACAAGCTCTTCTCACGGCTTCCTACACGGGTGTCAGGAGGGGAGGGCCCATCAAAGGATGCCGGGGAAGAGGCGGGGAGGGGGCCACCGGGGTTGAAGGGCCCACCCCGGGGAGACGGCGTGAGGCGACCGGAGGAGGAAGGGGCCGGAGGTGTGCTGTAGGGGGGCTCTGGTGGGGACGTGGTGGGCGGCGGGGGGATCTCCTCCGAACCAGGCACAGACAGGCTGCGGCTGAACTTCATGGCCGGGGGTGCTAGGTAGGGTCTGTCATCTTCTGCAGCCCCTGGGAAGACACAGAGGATCCAGGAGCAGGACAGGGGTGGGAGGGGGTGGTCTCCCTGTTTCCCTATTCCATAGAACTACACAATATTAGGATAATAATAATAATAGTAATAATAATAATAATAGACATGCAGTGTATGTTAAGAAGAACTTCACATGGATTAGTGCAGAGCTTTCCTAGCTGTGGTAAATCCAAATCCGCTGGAGAAAGTAATACAGGTTGTGCACTGCACAAGGGCAGACAGCAGAGGGAACTGGATGGGGTGGGAGTGGAGTGAAATTCAGCTGAACTTCCTTCCCAGGCCAGGAGGGGGCGCCTTTTCTAATTCCCACAAAGGCACAGTATATACTACTGAGGACTTGGGGTGAGCAAAAGTGGCTTGAGCCGGAAGAGATACCACGTTTATGGGCAGAGTTATAGATTTCTCTTCATGCATATGCAGAAAAGAAACGTAATTAGCATATCCAACCTGTGATTTCACAGACTGCTCAGAATGAGGCTCATGTTTAAAAGAAACAGTGGATTTATAGGTAAGCAATGTTAGGTAAATTTATAGGTAGCTGGTAATAGGCAAATGACACATGCTGGTGGACCATGGGCACTGGAAGTTGGGGGAAAGCTAGATCCAAACAGCAAAACAACTTGGAGAAGCCTGGAGGAGTGATGTCTCTTGCCTACTTATCAACTGTCAGGGCTCAGTCTTTGACCCTCTTTTCACCTCTGACTAGTCTCTCTCCCTTGACTATCTCAACCAGTGTCATGGCTTCATTTACTACTTCCCAGCTGACGACTCCATGTTTGTCTTGGGCCCAATCCTTACCCTTGAGCTCTGAGCTCCTATATTGAAATGCTGCATCCACTTGCCTGGCATCTCAAACTCAGCATGCCCCAAACTGAGCTCCTGATCTCTTCCCACCATCTCCCACAAGCTACTCTCTTAGCAAATGGCAGCTCAGTCCTACCCCAGGACCTTTGCACTGGCTGTTCCTGTGGCCTGGAATGCCTTACCTTCAGATATCCCCATGGCTCCCCGCTTCATCTCCAAGTTTCAGGTCAAACCTGCCCCCCAGCTCTCCCGACCTCTCTTTTTCTTTTTTTCCCCCATAGCACTTACCACAGTTAGCATACTACATACTTTTCTTTATTTCTTATCCTTACTACATACTTTTCTTTATTTCTTATCCTAATAATCTGTTGTCTGTCTCCCTCTGCTACAAGGTAAGCTTCATGAGGACAGGACCCTTTAGTCAGTTTTGTTCACTGACATATCCCCAGCAGTCTAGCCTGAGCTATGGTATTGTTCAATAAACATTTGTAGACCGTTTGAATGAATGGAGTCAGGTATAAGAGAGAACAAACCAGGGTCTGTGGTTGGGGCTTTGACTTACTGCATCCAGGCAGGGGCAATAATAATATCCCATTTTCTAGATGCAGAGTCCTGAGCCCAGAAAAGTGAAGCTGCCTACCCCAGGTCACACAGCTGGGATGGACCAGAGCCAGGATTCAAACCCAGCTTTGTTCAGCAACAAAGTCTGAGCTCTCTGCCCAAGTTGACAGAACATATGGAAGTAGAAAAGAACATTTCCAGGCTCCCTGGTTTTCCCTGTAAATTGTCACCCTCCCAGCCTCCCCTTTCCTCAATGGCATCCCTTACACCCACCCTTGCAGGGGACATACCAATAGACTTTTGCCGGAGCATGAGCCCAGGTCCTGGAGGCAGGTAGGAGGGACGTTCGTAACTTGGCTGGGAGCGGTGGTGGGGGTCAAAGCTTGACTTTGGGTTGACAGTCAGAGGAGGAGAAAGAAAAGAGAGCAGAGAAAGATCAGTCAGGGCATGAAAATCCATGGCTTTCCCACCCAGCCATCCTTCATTCCTTCTCCAACCTCTCCTGGAAGGGAGAGGGGCATGAAGGAGGTGGAAGGGAATACCAGGAAAGGGAAAGGTTCCTGAGTCCTGGCAGCGGGAAGAAAGGGGGAAAAGACAGAGGATCAACTGAGCCTGCGTGCCATGCCAATCACTAATCTGGGCACTTTACTCCATTCCTGCTGTCAGTGCCCAGGTCTGAGTTACCATCATTGCTTGCTTGGATGACTGCAGTAGCCTCTTCTCTTGTCTCCCTGGTGCCACCCCTGTCCTGCCACCCCTTTCTGGTTTGCTTTCCACACAAGAGTCAGAGGGATCTTTCCAAAAGAAATTCAGGTCATGCTATTGCCCTGCTTAAAAGCCTACGTTAACACGCCACATCAGTTGGAGGAGAATCCAAATTCCCAACTCTGGTCTCTGGTCTGTGCCCACACATATCTCCTTGGCCAGAATGCTGTGCCTATCTCCAGCTGCTGCAAGGGTCACCTGCCTGCAGCCCTCGGCTGCCCCTCGCTCTGAAGAATCACCCACCCCCAAAAGAGTTGACATGTCCAAGCAATTATGTGTCCCCACTCCTGGAAGCTGTCTGCTGATGCAAAGGTCTAAAGTGGGATTAACTCTGTCCTGTAGGTTACACTCCAGAGCTCCCCTAAGGGATCAGGCTGAAAGCAAACGCCAGTGGGGACCAGGTGTGCTGACCTCCACAGCCCATTCTGTCTGCCCTACTCCCTAAGAGGTTCCGCCTTAGGAAATCTTTGTCTCCAGAATCCCTGTCTCAGGCTCCAATTCTAGGAAACCCAAACTAAGACACCCTGTACGATTGAGCAGCTGCCTGTATCTCTGACTTGCTCATTCTGGTCCCACCACATCCACTTTGGCTCCTCCAAGGCCCCAAGGTCCATCACTGCTTAGGACACTTACAAGTCCTGGACCTTCTCTCTGCAAGGGTTTCCTCCTAATCATTACAGGTTCCTTTCCATCTTTACATCCTCCACTCAAATATCCCTCCCAGTCACTGTCTATTGTATTTTCCTGTCCTGTTTTCTTCATGGTGCTTCTTTCCATCTGGTTTGCTTGCTTATCGTCTGTCTCCCCAACTAGAATGCCAGCTCTTTGCAGGCATCAGATATTATCCCAGGCACCAAGGGGTCAGTGTCAAGGGCCCATGATACTTTTAGGGAAACTATTTTAATTGCTTTTAAAATAGGAGGAAAAAAAGAATATAATTCATCCAGGATAATAGTCATCTTTGCATCAGCACAGTCAGAAAACATCGATTATGCATATATCTTTTCAGGAGGGAGGGGCTCTTCAAGGCAAAAGTGTCAAACATAGCCTACCTGACGGTAGTGACTTAGTCAGTCTTGTTCCCTGCTAGGTCCCCAGTCCCCAAACAGGCCTGATGTTCTATAAGCTCGTGTGACATGAATGAGTAACCGAATGAGAACAAGCCAACATCAGGCACGGCAGGGTCCTGACTCCCCTGCTTCTGCCAGGTGGACCCATATGTTTCCCGTCTTTATCTTCGAGATCAGAAGTGCAGAGAAAGGAAACCCTCTTTGGCTGAAGTCCCCACCTTTGGGATGGGACCCTCACTGCCCTCACCTCCCACCACGTCCCTTCATGCCCCCTTGCACTAACTACCTCCAGTTCTCTGAATTCCTGTGCTGTTTCTCACCTTAGAGCCTCAGAATACACTATTTCATCTGCCTGGAACATCCTTTCCCTGTGCTTTGCTTGGGAAAACTCCTTGTCATCCTGGCCACCCCCTTCCTCTAGGTCTGCACCGCTTAATACAGTAGCCATTAGCCCTTCAGATGTAAATCTCAATTAATTAAAATACATTAAAATTTAAAATTCCCTTTCTCCATCATATTGGCCACATTTCAATAGTCACACGTGGCTGGTGGCTACTATACTGGACGGTGAAGATGGAGGACATTCCTATCATAACAGAAAGCTCTATTGGACAGGGCTGCTCGAGACCTTCATAGACCGTGCCCGTGCTCCCCCCTCACTGCACTCACCCACCTGGATTGAGACTATTTCTGTGTTTATATCACCAGTTCATTCATTCCACAGATATTTACCAAGCACCTGTTCCAGGCGAGGGTCTGTTCTAGATGCTACAGATGCAGTCATAAACAAACAGACAAAAGTCCCTGCCCACATGAAGGGCAGGCAGACAATAAACAAAATTAATTAGTAAAATATAACATGGGTCAGATGGGGGTAAGCAACAGAAGAGAGGGAGATTACAATTTAAAACAGAGCAGTCAAGGAAGACCTCACTGCAAAGGTATAATGAGCAAGCTCCTGAAGAAAGCCATGCATAAATCCAGGGGAAGAGTATTCTAGGCAGAAGGAACAGCAAGTACAAAGGTCCTGAGGTGTGAGTGAGCCCAAGGGGTAGTTAGGAGGCCAATGTACCTGGAGTGGGTGAGCCAGAGGCTGAGGGATGGGAGATGATGTCAGACAGGTGGCAGCAGAGTGGTATTGAGTGGGATCTGGTAGTTTTAGATGTCTCCTCCCTGGAAAGGCTTCCTTCTGTTACTCTGCATCAAAACTTCCTCCACGTATCCCAGTTTAGAATTGTTAAAATTATTTGCTTACTTGTTTATTGTCTGTCTCTCTGGGCAGGTAGCTTACCGAATATCCAGTCTACTCTTCTCCTTTGATCAGAAAACCCCAATCTGATTTGGCACCTATTGAGAGACTAAACTTCACAGCCTCCCATGGGGCTAGGTGTAGCCCTAGGACTCAGGCCAGTCCAGATGCATAAGTTGAAGTGTTAGGTGTTACTTCAGGGAAGTCTCATTAGAGGTAGCCCAAGAAGTAACAATGTGCCCTCCATTGTACATCTGCATTTCTGTTCTTCCTTGTTCCAGCTAACTGGAATGCTGGTGCAATAGCTAGAGCTCCAGCAGCCATCTTGGATTATGAGGTGACTTTGTGGCCAGGATGGTCCTGAATCTTCATGACCATGTAGACTGCCACACTTGCCCTACTCTAGCCTTCAACATGACAGAGATACAAGCGTTTATATTATTCAAACCACTGTTATTTGGAGGTTTCTCTTCATACAGCAAAACAATTCCACAAAACACTCCCACTCCCCCTGCCAAAGTAACTTCTCTCAGAGAAGTGACTTTGTTTGACTGGTTCACTCCTATACTCCTAGAGCTGAGCAGGAGATCCAGCACATAGTAGGTGCTCAATAAATATTTGTAGAATGAAGGATACCTTGACGAGATGAGGAGAGCACCCTGATGACATAACCCAGTCCTCTTCCTCTAAAAGACTGATGGGAAAGGATCATAGTGACAAAGGAGGGGTCAGAGTGACAGGAGAGTGGACAGAATAATGGGGGAGGGGTTAGAGTGACAGAGGAAGGGTGTCCCTAACTAAAGAGGGTCCAGACTGAAGGAAGAAGTGTCAGATTGGCACACTGACAGAAGAGCTAACTGGAAGAGAAAGGATCAGATAAAGGGTTAGGTTGACACTAGAGGGATCAGAGTGGCAGAGATGTCAGACTGACAGAAGAGCCACAACAGCGTCTGAAGAGGCTAGAATTGCCTGCCTGAGGGGTGGGTGGATTCAAGGTGGGACAGGCTGATCTCCATCAACAAACGGGGAGCGTTCTTTCCCGCGCAGAGGGGAGCAGCCAATCAGGGTGCGCCAGATATGCGTGACGTCACTGGCTGCCAGGTAGATTCCTCCCCAGAGAGTTGGCCAAAGGTCCTGCCCTCTTCCTGCGCTCCTTCAAGGGTCGGCTGTGGGTCTGGTGCCTCCAGGGCAGAGTATGCCCTGGTGCTATGCACATGCTAGTGGCTGAAGATGGGCTAGGAAATTCATGTTAGGGAGCCAGCCAGGAGGATTAGAGGCAGAAAATGCAACCGACGGGTAAGGCAAAAAATAATCAAAATAATCACAGGGAGAAACTGACTCCAGAGAAAGGCTGAAACCAGAACCCAGACTGAGACATGGGGACAAGGAGCATGGGACCCACCTGGGGGTCAGTGACCAGGTAACAGAGACAGTAGCCAAGAAAACCAAAGCCACACAGAGGAGAAGACAGGCAGATAAACAGCCAAGCCCTAGGAGACAGAGCCCAAGAGGGACCCTGACATACAGTGGATCTGCCTGGGGTCTGTGTCCCCAAGTGTGCATACAGTTGTTCTTCCCCAGTCCCCCTTAGGTTTTACACAGAGATGTATCTTTCAGGGAGGGCTGAAATCTCTCAGTTTTTAAGTGTTTAAACAGTGGTGTTTGTATAATCTCTTCCTCTGTCCACTGTGGTGCAGGCCTGTTAAAAGAAGCCTGGGGGAGCCACACTGGGTCTCCACATTGCCCACTTGCCCCCTGGTCTAGAGGCAGAGGAGTCCAAGTGGGAGAGTGAAGAAGGGAGAGATGGAAACAGATGGGAGATGGAGACAGAGGAGAACAAGACCACACATGGAGAGAGCCATGGAGATGCAAGAAAGTCAGGAAGGAGTCCCTTTGTTGACTCAGAGAGAGAAAGATCAGGATGGCTGGCAGGGGGTGGGGACAGAGAGAGTCTGCAGTGTAAGAGGGAGAGCTTGGGGGAGGCCCAGGGACAGGCCCCAGGAGGGAGAAGAAAAGGGGAAATGACTGGCTTTCAGGACCTGGAGGAAGGGAAGGCCCCATGAAGACTTCAGGTGAGTTTCATTTCTAGAAGATGGGGGCGGGTGAGCAGCTGGGTTTCTTGTGGGCCAGTGTCTGGGCCCATCTGCGGGTGTCTCTGGAGCTCAAGATGGCAGCCAGTTCTGTGAGGGCCAGTATCTTGTCTGTCCTGTAATGGAGGTTCATGCAGGGAGGGACTGGGACTCTGGCTACCTGGAACTTGGTGTGTATTCCACGCCTTCACTGCATAAAGGAAAACAGGACTCGCCCTAATCTGTTCCTGGGGACTCTGTTCGGAGCTTGGTATGCTGTTGTGGGGTCTCTGGGGTGCATGTGGGGCTCCCTGGTGAGTCACGGTGGGGTCTCCAGTTTGTTGTTTTATGGCCTGGGGAAGTTCACCATCTCTTGAGAGCCTGCTGTGCTAAAAGGTGATCTCATTCAGTCCTCCTAAGGACCAGCAAGATTGGCTTTAGCCTTATATTACAGAACAGGAAACAGAGGCACAGAGAAATTAAAAAGTGTGGGCCAAGTGACAAAGTAAGTTAGAGGAGGCTAGGCTTTGAAGGCAGGTCTGCCTGGCTCTACAGCTCATGTATTTTTTGGATAGGTCATTTTTTTTTAACTGAAGGATTGTTAATTTACAATGTTGTATTAGTTTCAGGTGTACAGCATAGTGATTCAGATATCTATATATATGTATGTACGTATGTGTGTATATGTGTGTGTGTGTGTATGTGTATATATATATATATAGATATATATATAGATAGATAGATAGATAGATAGATTCTTTTTCAGATTCTTTCCCATTATAGGTTATTACAAGATACTGAATACAGTTTCCTGTGCTATATAGTAGGTCCTTGTTGTTTATCTATTTTATGTACAGTAGTGTATATCTGTTAACCCCAAATGCCTAATTTATCCCTCTCTGCCATCTATGCACATTTGATTCTTACACTGACTTTGGGGGAAGATGGGCACAAAAGATGACCCTAACAGGCCCAGAGATTTCAGATTCCTTGAGAAACCAAGGACAGGTGTGTTGTGAGGGCCTACTGCACGCAGGACCGTTTGCCAAGCCCTGAGAAGTGGCCAAGGACCACTTGGCCTCCAAATCGGAAACAAATTCTAGGACTCTGGGTGTAAAATTTGCCACCTGTATTTGGCTCTTGTAAAAGTACTAGACCTTCCAGAGTAGGTGGTCAAACCCTTAGAAGGGCTGTGGATAGACATCAGGGGGCCTGTGCACTTGGATGATGGGGGAACAAAACTTACGTTTTTATTCTGATTATTCTCCAACTAAATACCACATTTCCTTAATTAAGGATGTGGGCAACAGACCACTCCAGTCTCATCAAGACCTGTGACTGTATTCCCAACAGAAATCACAGGTATTTCTGTATCTTTCATTGCAGTGGCTGCAGATTTCTCTAAATAATGTTTATGTTTCTCATGACTTTGAAATTAGAATAGTTAAGATCCACCACCAGATCATGTTGGCTACTGTGTTGTCAAAAAGGCACTGACATCACAATATGACAAATTTTGCTTTTTAAAAATATTCTGATGACTGTATTTCAGTGTAACTGGCTTTTTTCGTTATCTTATGTATTTTTTCTTTTTCTTCTTCTTTTTTTTGGGCAGAGATAATTAGATTTTTATTTATTTATCTATAATGTAGGTACTGAGGATTGAACCCAGGATCTTGTGCATGCTAAGCAGGTGCTCTACCATTGAGCTATATACCCTTCACCACCTGGTGGGTGTGGCCTGTGAAAAGGGGGTCAGAGGGCAGCGTCAGAGGGCAGGGGCTGGGCAGAGAAGAAAGAAGTGTTGAGAGAGAGGTAGTGCTGCCTGTGACCTCTGGAGGGTGAGGGAGGCATGGGCAGGGCTGGTGTGGGATGTGTCCCTGTGAAGGGGTACAGCCCAGTGAGAAGGATAGTCAGGGCGGGGGGACCAGCGGGTCCCCATTGGAAGGGCCAGGGCCATGGGTGGACCACAGATCAGTTGCCTGACTGCCTGGGGTTTTAATCTTGGCTCCCTCTCCGAGCCTCAGTTTCCCTTCTGTATAACAACTGAGTGTGGCTCCTAGGATGATGCTAAGGAATGAATGAGGTAATCCACATAAAAACAGTGTTAGAAATATGATCAACATTCACTATAGGTTAGCAGGCAGAGCGGAGATGGAGGTGATAATTAATATTTTAATAACTACCACTTGTTGAGGACCTATTATTACATGCTGGACCTGTGCCTGGGAGCTCCATCCATGACATCCCCTTGAGCTGGGACAGAGATGGACACGAAGAGGTGGGACAAGAGAGAGAACACGTGAGGAGTAGGGATGGAGAGTGGAGGGAGGTGAGAGAGATGGGATTTGGGGGAACAACAAGGAGGAACAGGATAGGTAGAGAGGAAAGGGGGCCCCCAGAGTGGAGAGAAAGGAGTGGACCCCAGGAAGTACAGTGCCCCTTTAGGACGGGCATTAAACACATGGGAGTCAGGAGAGGTTTTCAAGGAGAAGGATAGAGGCTCCAAGTTGCCCTACCTCAAGCTTCCTTCCCTCCCAGGTCCCCAGTTCCCCAGACCAGGCTGCCTACCTCAGTGGCAAAGAAGCCTTTGGGTCGGTGTTTGCCCAGGGACGCGAGGCCACCAGGCCCAGGACTCTCGCTTGCACTGATGGTCTGCTGAGCTGCCGCCAAAATTTCATCCAGTTTGTCTAGGAGGAAGGCGGGAGAGGGGCGGAGAGACAGCGAAATGAAGTTTGCTTTGGCCTGGCTCAGAGACAGAGCTACCGGGAGCCCATTCAGTGTCTTGTACGAACCAGAAAAGGGCACCCCTGTCTCCATCCCAGTGGACAGGAGACACAATCTCCAGTCCAGGAGGCAGGACCCAGCGATGGGCAGGGGAGGGCGGTAAGTAGGGCACAGCCATTGTGTGAGGGAGCGTGGAGAGGGGGCAGAAGGGACTGGGGAGAGGCTGAAGGCAGAGCAGAGGTGGTTGGAACTCACACTTGATGGCTGGGGCAAAGTTGGGGTGTGAAGGTGACCAGCTGACGGGCGCGCATGCGCGGGCGGGAAAAGGTAAGGAGCGGATGCAGCCCTCCAAGGGGCGTGGAGTTGGGGTCTTGGGCATGGGCAGCCTGGGGAGCAGGGCTGGGCCATCTTACTGAGAGCCATCTGATACACGGTCCGCTTTTTCTCCATGCTGGGCACCGGCGCAGGCTGCTGCTCGT